TCCGGGGGAAATCAATATTGTGTAGTTTTCTAAATCGAACACACAATGTCGAATTTTATTTCAGAATTCTTAAGAGTTGGCAATCACACTAACATAACCAGTACATAGCCATCAACTGAAATTTAGATTTACATATGATTGAAATAAGACATATCAGCACAATCTTTCATTGCATTGTTTCTACGTCGACTACCCGTCATCTTAGGAAGAGAAGCAACAGCAATCAATGATTATTAGCGTCGATGAACGGATGCAATGTAGCCAACAAATTAGGAAATATATTCAAATATGTGTATAATTTGGAGATAATGGGAAGACAATATCATAGCTAGTAACCCAGAGCATCTCAAAACAAATTTACTATGTCAGCTCACGATACAATCGATCGGCTGCTTCCAAATTCGGATCTCATGTGGCGTCTCATGCAGGCTCTAGCTTTAACTCTTAATAACGTAGACGCCACGTATTTGTTGAGGCATACACGTCACTTTATTTTTTCCCCACTGTACGGCCACGACAGACCTTTGTCAGATACAATTAAGTAAATTGAATCACTTGAAATAAGTGTTCTCCATTAGCGTACTTTCAGTGTAGACAATCGGCAAATTAAACTTAATTACCAATCTCGTATTTTACATGAATGATAATGTAATGTAGGAGAAACAATTCCCCGTTGTCGTTATTTTTTTCTGGAATAACTAACTTGAGTGATCTTCAGTGAATTTGATTAAAACATCATCCAGCTTGCTAGCTACCACAAATTATTGACCTAGTTTTACTTAAGCGTGTCTATATTAATGAAATAAGGGTGGCTTAAACTGCCCACTGACTTAGAATAGAAATATTTCTATTGACAACTTCAATCGAAGATTAGGGTATGTAGAAAAACAGTTTTTTTAAAATTTTTCTCTTTCCTATTAAATTCTTTAGCACGTTTTTTTTGGAATCCGTTGATTTTGTTTTAACATGTTTACAAATTTCAGCATCCAATGTTATTTTAGTTCGAACTGTCAACTGTTATGGTTTTTTTTATTTAATTCTTGTGTATTGTTCCTTGGCTTGAAATTTCTGGCACGAAATGTACATGAGCGGTGTATCATATTTTATGTTGTCCTTTCTTACGGGTTAATAGTTGTTGGTTTTCATGGGAATTATTTACAATCGTTAAAGTCATCGCGCTTCACATCTTTGTTGAAGAATTTCCCACAATACTTTGCGTTGTTTTCAAACTTCAAAGAGAGACCATAACGAACATAAACCACACCCTTCACGCTTGAAAGAATCGAACTTATTTGGAGGTTTTGAACTTGAAATACTTCCCTTCACTGTTTCGCTTGCTGTCATTTTGTTTTTGGACAACAAAACTGCAATGCACTGTGGGTAAATTCATGCGCAGTTCGACTATTTAGGCGCTTCAACCACGCATGTTTGATTTGGTATAATCAAAAACACCCAAACACGTTAAACCGCTAATATTAACCAGATTTTATATTTATTATATTAATTTCAGAACCATTGTCGCTGACTCTAATAATTGCAATTATCTTCGGAAGCTTTATATTCATCTTGATTATCGTGGCATTCATAATATACAGGTGAGTGTCAACTTTGATTTTAGCAATGCATTGTGGGTAGTGTCGCCCAGACTTATATATTTAAGCTGTTTTATAAAATAATACAAAATGTCCTTCCTAATAGAAAGTATAAGTAGAAAATACCATTTCGTACTTTATATACATATATATTTCGTTTTGTATTCCAGAAAGTACAAACTGGAACAAGCATTGGCTGACATGGCTTGGAAGATACGATGGGAGGAAATCACATTTACAAAAAGAAAGAGGGGTCTTGGAGGGAGTCACACCAGTCTAAATTCTAGGGTAAAAAAACTTATATTCAAGTATGAGCTCTAAAATCAGACTGTATCTTGAAGGCGTACTCGAAATCAAATACCGCGTTCACCAGTGGTTCTATACAAATTCGTGTACCAGATTCTACACGTTTCACATTAGTGTCGTTCGTATAGCTGAAACAAGCTACATAACTCTTATGTACATTGTTCATATAATAATTATTCTTTGTTTATTCCAGAGATCAAGTATGCATTCCCAGCAGTCCGTGTGGGATACGAACCAGCAAATATTCACAATTACTGGAATGTACAAGGTAATATAAAGGTTCATTTCCATAACATAATAATTCTAATATATTTAGGATTTAGTGTTATTGAGACTCTTCGATCGGTAAATTTTGTGCTGCTATATTAAAAACAGCAAAATACGTCAGCCGTCTTAACATTGTGATTGTGGCACAATTTTTGTGAAAAAATCTTCTGAAATGACATCGCTTTCAATATTTTTTTTTCATTCATTACTTTATTGTTCGTGTTTAACTTGTAGAACAATGTCGTCGCGATCAAAAAAATTAACAAAAGAAGAGTAGAAATTAATCGACAGATTTTACTAGAATTTAAACACGTAAGTAAAATAGATTCTTACTAATATTTATTTTGCAAATATTCACACTACGTATCGTCAAACATAATAATGTGCCAATGATTTGTTTAATAACGTCAAAGTTGAGTTAAAATTCGGCATGTTTGACGTTTGTTTGTTTTATATGACCTCCATTCGCCTTGCATAACTTACATCCACCCTTTGTGAACACAACATGCACTTTTATAGACGCCCTCTGCGTCGTCTGACCTACCTCCATTTGCCTTTTGTGATCCTCCATCTGCCTTGCCCGACTTACATCCGACTTTTGTGACCACCACATGCACTGTATAGCCGCCATCTGCGCCGTCTGGCCTCCTTTTGCCTTATGTGACCTACATCTGCATTGTGTGCCGCCTTCTACCTTGTTTGACCTCCGACTGCCCCGTGTGACCTACATCTGTCTTGTGTAACCCCCGTCTGCCGCGGGTGTCATCAACTGTCGATTTTACACGCACGATTCATCTTAACCTTCTTACCTACCTATGCAAATATAAGCATAATTTCTACACAGACTACGATGTATAACATATAATAATAATTTTCAATAACGATAACACAAAATAGAGACACGAATTATCATAATTCCTATTTCAGATGAGAGACTTACAACATGACCACGTGACAAGATTTATTGGAGCTTGTACAGATGCGCCTAATATTTCCGTCATGACAGAATACTGTCCTAAAGGCAGTCTACAGGTGAGTGTACATATCACGTGCCGCAGTTACGTCATAAATTGAATATGCAGAAATATACACGACTGCTCTAATACTTTATTTCACCTATTAACATAAAGTCTGAAGTTTGTTCACTTTTGAGTATTATCACATAGAGAGCCGCATCTTCTCACTGACGGACTCTTTTAATCCTTAAGGACATTCTGGAAAATGACTCCATCAAATGGACTGGATGTTCGATACTCACTTGCCTACGACATCGTTAAAGGCATGCATTACATACACAGTAGCGTCATTCATTCCCATGGAAACCTGAAATCAACCAACTGCGTTGTGGACAGTAGGTTTGTTTTGAAAGTTACCGATTTTGGACTGAACCGATTTCGAATGGACGACGAAGATAAAGATCTGGATTTCGAGTCACATCAGTACTTCCAGCGTAAGTGAAAATCAGTTAGTAATATCCATTCATTAAATGAGACAACTATGCATAAATTGATTGACGACATTGTAGGAATATATATTTCAAAAATTAAATAGTCCCTCCCCTGGGGACCAGATTTTTGTTAGGAGACATTTGCATACTGATGGTTTCAGTAAATGGTATTTCAAAAGCACAGGCATTGTCATTACAGGCAAACTGTGGACGAGTCCTGAGCTACTTAGAATGACAGAGGCTCCGACTGTCGGTACACAGAAAAGCGATGTATATAGTTTTGGAATTATACTTCAAGAGATTGTTCACAGATGTGGTCCATTCTACGTATCACATATGGACCTATCACCACAAGGTAAACCCACAGCTACAGCTGTCATAATTGTCGCTCCCGAAGTTGTGTCATTCTTCGAGATAATGGAATTCATATATTACTTTTTGTCACATAACCTAAAATTGTCTTTGGATTCAATGATATTAATGGGGAATACGACACAATTGTATCACTGTTGGCTTGATATATTCAATTTGCTAGATATATTGATTTTAAGGGCGAAGACTCTCTGAAGGATTCGTATTTTTAAATTAATGTAATGCCTATGTGGCCAAAGAGATTTTGTGGTTGCAAATTAGACACACAGTAAATTTGTCTGGCACTTTTCCCTTCAATTCCATTAACACGCACATAGCTAGAGTATTTCACGTGTAGAGGTGTTATTTGCGTGTGCATAGTCATTTTTACAGATTTGGAGTTGTTCAAATATATTCTTTTTACTCTATATGTATTCAATGTTATTTGATAATGCGAAAACATTGTTCTATTTCCCACAGAAATCGTACAGAAAGTCAGAGCTAGCAACAGACCTTATTTCAGACCAAGTGTGGATAAATCCACGTGTCCGGAAGAACTTTATCCAGTGATGGAGAAATGCTGGGCACAGGACCCGGCTGAGAGACCAGACTTTAGCTCAGTCAGAACAACGATGAGAAAATTAAACAAGTATGTTAGTTTACGTTTTACAATGATTTATGTTCCCACTACAATTTACATAAACTATTGAGAGAGAAGGTTCGAGAGTACCAATGTTCGTACATATATAAAATGCAAATAATAACGCCATGGCAACGACAAGATAGCAATATATCTATACAATCTACAGCGTTAGTCAAACGTAATAAAAGTAACATTCACAGAAATGTACTGTCATGTCCAATCAACCTCATTATATGTACTCTTACAGTCAAAGCGCTGGAAATATTCTGGATAATTTACTACGGCGCATGGAACAATATGCAAATAATCTCGAGAGCTTAGTGGAGGAAAGAACCGAAGCCTTCTACGAAGAGAAGAGACGAGCGGAAGAGTTATTGTATCAAGTCTTGCCAAAGTAGGTTTATTTCTAGATCGGTTTATGTGGAAGATTAAATAAGACAACGCTTCGTTGAAATATTTCTTTCTACGTGCGTTCAATGTTGTGTCTTTGTGAACGGGAAGTGTATATGAATTGTTAATTTTTATCCAATTTATACTAACTCATTTGTCGTGGCAAATTGTATATTTCAATTTCAGACCTGTTGCTGAGAAATTGAAGCGAGGGCAAGCAGTACAAGCCGAGGCATTCGATAGTGTCACAATATTCTTCAGCGATATCGTTGGATTTACAGCTCTCTCTGCCTCGAGTACTCCCATGGAGGTACGCATAAACTTTCATATACTTCGTCGTATTCATAGCCTTACCCCTTACATGTGTCATGACGTGACGGTCCATGTTGTGCCAATATTCCAGTAAACTAAAAGGATAACTTGACATATCGTCACATGACATCGGGTACATCCGGGAAGTTAACACCAACAACTTCGGTTGCTACTATCTTTGGTGAACGTCCAAATTTTAGTTTTCTTTCAGTTGTCGGTAGGCGCAGACTACCACTACGCCAAATGATTATCTAAATCACGTTTAGTTCTCGTCCGATCAGAAAACAATCAGATATATTACTGTCGCCTTTTTTCAGTAAGGCTGGCTTTAATTCGCTGAGAATCGCTGTCATAAAAGCGAATTAGGGGATCAGATGCAGTTAAATGCGATATCACTTTAACTGGAATTTAATTAAGCCTATATCCACGTTGAAATATATTCACAGTATAATACGAACATTTAGCACTGTTAACGTGAGACATCTGTATACTAGTAGTATTTTTGTCTGATATTTCATTAATTTTCTAAACAAATTAATGTGATGTGTTCTTATTACAGGTCATCGCTTTACTTAATGACCTTTACACGTGTTTCGATGCAATTATTGATAATTTTAATGTTTACAAGGTACGTCACAGTATAGTATACTCACAATTAATAATGATTATTTGCATATTGACGCCTGTTAAAAAAAGACAAATGATACGAAACCACACTCAGTAGTGAAGAACCCATTTATGCCACTTAGGTATACGCACTGCCACCATAACACTATAAACTATCGTGTGTTACAGGTAGAAACCATTGGAGATGCTTACATGGTAGTATCAGGTCTACCCATACGAAATGGTGACTTCCACGCCAGAGAGATCGGTAGAATGGCGCTTGCGTTGCTGAAGGCTGTTGACACATTCAAAATAAGACACAAACCTGACGAGAAGTTAAAACTACGTATCGGAATACACTCTGGTAGGTTGTGGTTGGAGCAGAACATTTACAGCGTCCGTCCTAACTGTCTTATGAACAGCAAACATTTAAGTCGACTTATTGATATGATGTTATTTTAATAGTTGTCTACTGTTATGTCAGGTATGGTATGCGCTGGTGTTGTTGGTCTTAAGATGCCCCGCTACTGTCTGTTTGGAGACACGGTGAACACAGCTTCCAGGATGGAGTCCAATGGATTACGTAAGTTTCTCTCTTCAAGTTTTAGGATATGCTTATATATTAGGTGAACAAATTTAGACTCGATTAATCAAAGACACGTGATCGCGTGTTTGTGTTGTATATTTGAGTGTGCTATAATGTGCTACCAGCTCTTTCTTTTTTTAAAGTCACGCGAAAATAGTCTTATATTTTTCCTGACTTCAATTTAAAAAATGTTACATGTTAATTGTTGTGACAAATGGAGTATAATCGTGTTATTTCCATTACTTCGTAGCTCTGAAAATTCACCTCAGTAAGGAGACGTACCAAATACTCGAACCTTTTGGGTCGTTCAATCTTGTTTGCCGAGGAGAAATAGAAATGAAAGTAAGTTTATTATAAAGGAATTGTACTACGGTTACTAAAAATCCATTTTTTTTCTATATTGCACTTTAAAAAAGTAATGTATTAACCCGTCAGTGTCCCTGTAGCACAATCATGTTCCAATTCGACAGACGTTGTGGTATTGTTCAAAACCAAAATTTTTAACCGATGAAATTCCTCATCTATTTTTGTGATATCCTATATTGCACTTCACAGGGCAAAGGCAAACAGTTAACGTATTGGTTAGAAGGCGAAGACCCTCCCAAGAAAATAAGCAATGGCACAACGAAATCTAACGGTTTTGTACCGACATCTGTGAAGGCCGGGAAAAACTATATCTACGCGTAACCAAGAAACGTGATGAGTTTCAATAATGCGTGTGCGTGAGCGGGGCAACGAAACAACATGTTTCACGCTATGGAGCAATGAACAATACACGTGATATTGGTGTGACGAGAAGACATAGTACCTAGATTGATTTGTTTCTGCGCATTTACAGTGATTTGTCTGTCCTCATTTTCTGGCGATACGAAGTGCCGAGGCGTCAGTTAGCGGCAATCGACCAATCACGGATTTTTGCTTGATCATTGGTTGTTTTGAGAGTGAGTCAAGACACGTCAGGCGTCAACCACGCCTATATTGCACAACTCGAGAGTTACTATACGTGCCGTGGCGCTAGGTTTTTAGGACCAAAACATTACCATACCGGATTATTGAAAAGGAATAATCACATTTATTCGCCTGTTGTTAATATTTGCATCCATTTTCCTAACAAGTATCATATGTTTTAACTGTTTTTGAACAAAGTGATAATGTTTTTTTTAAATAAAAATTGACGGTTTAGATAGACACTCACGTGACAATTTGTTTGTTACACATACCATGCCAAGCATGTGACGCTCATTTCATATTCATTATATTGACAGTCACGTGGTGGTTTATGCAATAATTATCGGACAATCACCATTATTTACAAAACAGAATAATAATCATTTCAATGTGACATTCCTGAACTGTATTTATTTTATCGTATTTTCCAAGGAATAAAACGAATATTTAGTTCACATTCCATGAATCGTCATGCTTTAAAGCCGGGGAGTCGTCACTTACGCATGCGTAAGATGGCCATAGCGTGTCATTGTTTACAAACAAGCGTCTACCCATGAGCTTTTCGTTTTTAGCGCGTGTTGTTATCGTCGCTTGGGATTCAATTCCCGCGCGTGCGCAGGTGACGACCCTCCCGCTTTAACAATGTTTCAATGTTACAGTATAGTCTACCCTGTATTCGGAGGACATATAGGAAAGCTACAGCTATGCACATGTTAGGGCTTATATTGCTGCTGGCGCGTAGCAAATGGAAAGAAGGACTACAGCGCATCAGCAGGGCATCAGAGGAAGTTAGAATAACTTACGTGAATTTTTAATTAAAAAAATTAATTAATTCATGATCAAAATTTCGTTTGTCTTATTTTTCCACTCTCCTCACTGTTATGAGAGATATTTACTATAGATTATTTTGGTATTTACCTTATCGGTTTTACAAATCTATATAGTAATAATAAAGGTCGCCCACGGCGTGTAATCGAGATTACAATTTGCACAAATTAAGATGAGCACAAAATAAAATTTTGACACGAACAAATTGGTTACATAAGTGTGGCACTGACAAAATTTGATAAAAGTACAGGAAAAAAAGGACGAATATATATTTTAGATTTTGTTGTTGTTAAAAATTCACCTAAAGTTTTTCTAATTCTCTGTTATTTTATCAGTGTGTCACTAAGTGTCAGTGTCACCGTTTTAGTGTTTTGTCACTAAATGCCCACCATCAACACGCTGTAATGTCCAATGTTGTAAATAATACAAATAT